ACTGGTACTGGTCTGTAGGCTGGGTGACTTCACACGGAGCACTGGTACTGGTCTGTAGGCTGGGTGACTTCACACGGAGCACTGGTACTGGTCTGGCCACCTGCTGTCCAGGAGACACATTTTTATTGCAGTGTTTAAGGGAACCCCTGTAGAGACACAGCAAAACAACGAGAGAGAAGAGAGGGCAAAGCCTGCCGGGAAGTGGCATGCAGAGCCACATTTTAGCGTACCACCACACGGTGCCCACAGCACTGGGGTGCCGAGCCAGCAGAAATGATTTCTTCAGCAAATGTACCAGCTGTCATCACTGAAGTATGGGCAAACCCAGAAGACCTATGATGCCTGGAGCTCCAAGTTGAGTGTGAGTTGAACTGGAAAATTCCCTGAGGCATACATCACACATTAGCCAAATTTGAGGGATATGGAAGCCAGCACCAGAGTGTGTGTGTGTGTGTGTGTGTGTGTGTGTGTGTGTGTGTGTGTGTGTGTGTGTGATATTTAGACTGGAGTTTTGTGATTTTAAAAAATTATAACTAAGTATCATTTTTATCAGAAAAAAAGATTTTGTGGTGATCGGAGGGCTAAGGAATGCTACATTGATCACACCATGCAATAAATCTCATGCAAGAGATTTATTAGGTTTTATTGAAGGCTGTCTCTGAGCAAAGATGAAGAGAAGGAGTGGGGTGTGAAGGTGTGGGCTTTATAAAGGGCACGTGACTCTTGGCAACAGTGGAAATGTGTCGCATTTGGCAGCCGGTCATGACAAGGCCGCTGTGGCTGAGCTGCTCGGGCGGGCTGAGGGTACTTGGTCATGGAATGTGATGGTTCTCAGTTTACCAACATTCCCGCCTCTTATTTATTATAAAGGGTGAGGAAATAAATAGGAAGGGGTGATGGTGGGCAGGAGTGGAGGTACTGTTGTCTGGAGGCATGGGCATCTTTGGGGACCCAGGAAAGCTGGGATGCTGGCTAAATCTGGGAAGAGCAGAGTGTTTCACTCTTTGTCCAGACTCTTCAGGGCCATCTCGGGCTGGAGAAGTACAGGCAGCATTTCTGAGGCTGGACCACCTGGGGCTAGCTGCTTTGAAGATGTCCTGGATACAGATTTGAGGGAGCACCTGAAGCTGGCAAGTTGCTGAAGCAGTCTACAGTTGATTTGAAATCTGTTGGGACAGATAGACTAGGAAGAGAAGGTAAAGTTAAGAAATTTAAGTGAATTTTTAATGATCTATTTTTATTTTATGTACATTGGTATTTTGCCTGCATGTGTGTCTGTGTGAGGGTGTGGGACCCCCTGGAAATGGAGCTACAGATAATTCTGAGCTGCAACGTGGGTGCTGGGAATTGAACCGAGTCCTCTGGAAGACTAGCCAGTGCTCTTAACCCTTGAGCCATCTCTCCAGCCCCGGAAAAATGTTTATCTTAGGAGCACATTTGAAATTTCCAGGCCCACTATCGTGGCAGTTGGGGGAGAGGAGTCCCCCAAATCAGGGAAAGTTGGGGAGATCTCAACCTCAGGAGCAAGTGGAATAGGCAGGTGGGGAAACAGGCTGTTGGTTGACAGTACTTATCTAGAGTCCATTTGACCCACGAGAGGTGGATTCAAGAAGATTCCCAGAGACTCAAAAGAATTTGTTAAGTTTACAAAAACCAGTAAGTTTTAGACATGTTAGTGTTTCCATTGCTTGTAATCTGTACTGAAATACACATTGCTAAAAAGGCAGTAGACTCACATCTTTGAGTCATGGGAGAAGCTTGGGGACCTAAAATGATGTTTGGATTAAATGCATGACCACTCTTTCCTCTGTCCAGAAGACTGAGTGTATATAGATTAGACAGATGTTTTTAGCACAATGAGAAGCACTTTTAAGTTATACTTAGAAGACAACCAAAGGAAATTTAAAATCTTGAGCTTGTGACTGTGATAACAGTAGTCAGTGCTCACCAGAGCTAGATTAGTAGCTTTTCAGAACTCCACTGATTGATGTTAAAACCCTGAATGTTTGAAGTCTTAATATAACAATAGCCTAGGAGAGAAGTCTGAAATATTTTTTTGTTTTTACATATGTCTTAAATCACTTTCTTATACCTTTACAAATTGCATTTACACACCTTAAGACACTTTCTTAGGCCTTTATAACTTGCCGTTACTTATCTTAAACACTTCTTTAGACCCTTACAACTTACTTAAGCTTTCGTATCCTCAGACCTTACATAGACTTTTCACTTTTTTCTGTCCAGTCAATCACCATGAGACACAGATGGCTGGTACTGAGAGCAGTCACTGTAAATCGCATTCCTTTAAAAAAAGGAATAGTAAAGAGCTACTTTGAAATCTATTTTTAGAGTTTATCTTAGAGTCTTGCAGCAAGGTACACTGTGTCTAAACCTAGTAGTAGTTCTAGGAAAGTGAGGCCTGAGGCCTGAATTTTACACGTGGAGAGAACTGAGGAGGCAGCTGAAGCCTTGGTTGCCGCTGTTAAGCTGACAAAGCTATCATTAGCCTAGTCATCAACACCACCAGAGACCTGAGAAGGGTACATTTCACCCGAGTAAGCAGGAAGTACAGACAAGCTGACAGGGACTTACCGGCTACCTGGACAATCACTCTAGGTTCCTCCATGGTCATCCTGATTTAGTCAGGGGCAGAGGCCGCAGGGCAGTGTCAGTCTTCAGATGCCAGGCCAGGAAGATGCAACAGACTTTTCTATGGAGTAGGAACTTGGGGAGACCGACCTGCGTTGTCTAGACAAGAGGGACAATCAAGTCCCGGTGTCCTTCTTGTCCACGGTTTGGGTCCTGGCAGCAGGCAGGATGAAAGGCAGCTTTCACCCAGTGGCTGGCTCCAGGTGGAGTTCTTCTGTCCCCATCATCCTCTCTGTAGACTTTGGGGTCACTGCTAGGAGCTGGGGGTCTCTGTTGCAGTTTCCTCAAAGCTTTTCATCCAGAACAGCTTCAAGGCTGCTGGCTGAGATGGTCAGGCTTCACAAACTACTCCAGCCAAGATTTAAACATAATCCTAAATTTTCTCAGGGTCCCCCAAAGATTACCAGCTATCCCAATCAACAGAAAGTGTAGAGAACTATGCTCATGTTCCCAAAAGATGGGTTATGGATATTTATTACCATTTAAATGGGGTTGGATACAAGTTGTTATGGGTAATGGTCAGGAAAAAAGCTTAACAAAGGAAATTAGATTCAGGGATCTTGTTCTAAAAAGAAAAGGGGGGTGTAGAAATGATAGGATAAAAGGGTAGATTATTGAATCTACTGTCATCCAAAAACATCTATTAATCTTAAATATTTTACATTGGTATAGATTTTGGTTTATTGATACAAATTTAAAGTGAATTTTGTTAAACTGTATGTATATTTCTACTCTTGTTTAAGGTATTATGTTTATACAGTGAAGAGACCCACGGAGGTTTCCCAGTGAGAACTTACTCAGGATCCAAGAATTTACCCAGCAGGTCTGCATAAGGGGATGATTTGACCACAGGCATGGATACCAGGTTTTTGGAAGGGTCTGCACTTGGCTGTGTGGTGTTGGCATTGTTATAAAAAGCCCTTTTGAAGAGGCAGAAGGGGCCACTGGGTTTTGATCCAGGTCCTCCTGAAGCCATCCTGTGTTTCTGCCTTTCTCTGCTTCACTATCTTGCTATCTAAAAGTTTCTTATCCCTCTCTCCTCCTCATAGGAACCCTTTCAAAAGATGGGAGCTAGCCTCCCACAATGCAGCACATTAAAAAATGTAATGTATAATTAAGAAATGCAGATTAATAGCCATCTCTAATAGTCAAACTTGTAGTCATGTTAGGTATGTTTTCAAGGTCATACACAGATATATTTAGATTGATAGATGGTCTTTAAACACTTCAAAGACCTGTAGAATATGGCATTAAATATGTTTAATAACCTAAGGCTTTTCATGACAGTGAGACACGCCTGCTCCTGGCTGCACCAATCTACTTTAGAGAAGATGATGGGCATTGAAGAAACTCCACATGGAGGTGGCAAAAGCTAGTCATGTGGGCAAAGAAACTGCCCTTACCTCAATTGCTGACAGTTACTGTCCAAACTGGACCAGCAGGACACAAGAAAGGTGACTGCAGAACTTTGCCAAGACAAGGTAGGACAGTCCTTAGAATTCCCTGCTTCACAGGAAAGTCTGTCAGATATGCTGGGCCTGTAGGCTAGAGTTAGATGCCCAATGTTATGGAGGAACCATGGGTGACTGTGCAGGAAGCCAGCTATTTCTGTCATTTCTTAGTTTTGGAAGTTGTTATCTCTGCACTTCCTGTTTACTCAGATAATATTACATTTTTCTGAGGTCTTTGATGGAGTTAAAGACTAAATAGTTAAACTTATAGTTTCCTTAGTTATGACAGAAAGCAAATTAAGTATAAAACTTTAGGCTCACCAAGATAAGATAAATAATAGAGTATTTTCTTTAATTTTGCCAAATAAAAATAGACTGGATATTATAACTACAATTCTTACTTAATAATTGCTTTTGTTATATATAATTTTACCATGTTAAAGTTAAAACCTTCATTTTTAATTAGACAAAAAGTGAGAAATACTTTGGAATAATCCTTCACACACTATGTGACTATATGTCACTATGATTGGTTTAATAAAGGAGCTGACTAGCCAATAGCTGAACAGATAAAGTTAGGCAGGAAAGTCAAACTAAGAATGAAGGGATGCGGAAGGGCAGAGTCAGAGGAGTTGTCAGCCAGAGGCAGAGGGAACAGGAGATGAACCTGCCATGCTAATAAAGGTACTGACATGTGGTGGAGCATAAATAAGGGATATGGGTTAACTTAAAATGTAAGAGTTAGTAACAAGCCTGAGCTATTAGCTGAGCATTTACAATTTATATTAAGCTTCTGAATGATTATTTGGGAGCAGGCAATCAGGACAGGAAAACTCCACCTACAGTCTCTGTCTGCCATAGTAAGCTTTTTCCATTAAACATTTTAAATGTCATATTCAACAGATCTCAGAAAAGTTTTGAGAACTCTTATTTATTAAGTATATCTAAAATAAGCAAATTTTCCTTGTGCTTGTTTTAGGTTTAACTTCGAAAATATATATAGGAGGTTAAATAAAGCTTATTCCTGTAATTGATTACATTAGTAGCATGACTACACATACAGTTCTGAACACATTGAAGAATTTGATCATTTATAAGATGACTATTAAGTTGCATGTCTTAATTATCTTTAACAGTTTATAATAAGTTAGTAGCTTTTATAAGATTAGGTTTTTATACCTTTATCCCTTTTAAGTTTGAGCCTTAAAATTTGAGTTGAAGATTTAATTGGAGATCCTTTAGCATCAAAATAAACCATGAATGCAGTGAACTTATCTTTTATATGTAATTGGAAGTTTTTCTATCTCCCAGCCAGCCGGTGGTTGGGACAAATCTCTCACTCACAGTCTTGCAGCCTTTTATAAAATAATCACAAAGAGACTTAATATTAGTTATAACTGCTCGGCCATTAGCTCAGGCTTATTATTGACTAGCTCTTACACTTAAATTAATCCATATTTCTTATTTATGTTTAGCCATGTGGCTTGGCACCTTTTGTCATTTCTGTCTTGTCATCTTGTTTCCTCTGTGTCTGGCTGGTGACTGACTCAGTCTTCCTCTTCCCAGAATTCTCTTCATCTGTTTGCTCCACCTATACTTCCTGCCTGGCTACTGGACAATCAGCATTTTATTTATCAACCAATCAGAGCAACACATTCACAGCATACAGAACATCCCACAGCATTTATACTGCACCATTACAGATTATTACAGTTTCTTGGGTGACTCGGTTTATCCAGACAGCTAAAGTTTAACAAAGTGAGCAAAGACAAAGAAGCTAGACCATGAGGCTGAGCTGACTGTGGGAGTTTATAAATCTTATTTATCAAACATATGTTGTTACTTTTCTAACTTTTCTAGCAGTATGTGTTGAACAGTTAGCAAAGACATAAGTAGTTAGACATACATCTTAAATCAGCTTTTGTTAATCTGAGTAGACCTTTATAAACTTAAAATTTTGTCATTATATATAGTATATTCCAAATCAGAGTTGAATTACATGTATAGTGTCTTTTGGCAAATATACCCTTCAATTCTTCTTCTTTTTCTGTTTGTTTGTTTTTTTGTTTTTTGTTTGTTTGTTTTGTTTTTTGAGACAAGGTTTCTCTGTGTCACCCTGGCTGTCCTGGAACTCACTCTGTACACCAGGCTGGCCCCAAACTCAGAGATCTGCCTGCCTCTGCCTCCCAAGTGCTGAGATTAAAGGTGTGCCACCACCACCTCCTGGCTCAATCTTTTTATCATCATACTGAGAAGACTAGGCACATATCATGACAGGCTCCTAATAACTCAGTTAAGAACTAGGCCTCAGTTCCTGCCTTTTGAAACTGGACAGACAGTTTCTGAGGAAGCCATGAACACTGGGCAATCAATCACCAAGGCCTGTGACAAGGATGAGGAGAACTGCACATACTAGGCCTAGTCCAGCCCCCACAGTAGCTCAAGGAAATAACCAAATAAGAACAGAACCTGGGACTTGTCCAGGCTTGCGCAAAAATAATAAAACTATAACCACAGCCAATTTAGAAATGTACTAATATGACTGATGCTTACTTAACCAATTATGTTTGAGATGACCTAACTGTCCCTGAAACTCTTCTAGTTGTGTTTAAAAGGAGCCTGCACGTTCTTCTCAGGGTCACCATTTTGCCTTTGTGTCAGATGTGCAGGCCCAGGATGCTAGTACTTCATTTTCAAAATAATAAACACTCTTGTTGATTGCATACGTGGATGGTGGTCTTTTGTGGGACTTCTCCAGGATCCTAACAATATAAAGATTCATACCAATCCAAAATATTTGGGAGACTTTTTGTTGCCTCCTTAATCTAAAAAGAGATACAGTGATAAATAGAGAGCTCTGGTGCATTTATCTAATTATTCTTAATAAAAACTCGGGAGTCAGATATCAGGGTAAGAAACTGAATGATCAGAGAAGCAGTAGAAAAGTGACCAGTCACCTCCTATCTCGTTCCTTCCTCCATCCTACTACTTCCTGTGTCTGTCTGTCCTCAGTGCTCCAAAACCTCTATGGTAAATTTTGGTCAGCTAGTAGCTAGCTCTGCCCTCTGATTCAAAACAAACACTATTGTCAGTCTTGAGAGCATCAGAATGCAATCAAAGTATCATACAACAGAGCTCATCAGGACTAAGAAGTTTTACAATTATTGCTCTATGCCATGTGGTCATCTGAAGATGGTGACTAAGTCACATGACACGTATTCTTTAACCTTAGTAAAGATGGCTGCCAGCCATGTAGCTGCTTACATCTTGAAGAGATCATCAGCCAAGATGGAGGGGAGTCATATGGTTGCTATTTAGAAATATATGGGGCTGGAGGGATGGCTCAGCAGTTAAGAGCACTGACTGCTCTTCTAGAGGTCCTGAGTTCAATTCCCAGCAACCACATGGTGGCTCACAACCATCTGTAATGAGATCTGGTGCCCTCTTCTGGCATGCAGGGATACATGCAAACAGAACACTGTATACATAATAAATAAATCTTAAAAAAAAGAAATATCTGTAGATCTATTTTTTTAAAAATGAGAGTTGAATCCAAGTTACATATGCACATATGAACACAGAGTTCAATGTAAGTTACATACACATATACACACAGAGTTGAATCCAAGTTACATACACATACACACACAGTTGAATCCAAGTTACATACACTATACATACACAGTTGAATCCAAGCCACATACACACATACAAACACATATAGAGTTGATATAATATGTTGGAGCAAATTAAGATTACCTACATATAAATTTTTAATTATAAACCTTCAGTTTTAAGTTTAAAGCCAGCCTTTGTTACAGATTTTGTAGATTCAAAACCATATCCAATGAACTTACAGATCTTGAGGTAGAGTTTACAGCACAGTGTTAAGAGATTTTTTTTGAGAACAGAGGACAGACAAACCATAGAGATAAAAGATTCTTGGGAGTGGAAAGTGGAGAGAGTGGAGAGCAGAACAAGTTAAGATATTTGAGGGTCATTTGTTTGTGCAATAACAGTTACTATGATTTGTGAGAGCTTAGAAACTAAGTGCATCAGTTTTTTGGCCACTGATCTGTACTGAGGCCAAGACGTAGTAATAAAATCTGAGTCCATGGAAGAAGAAAGAGAGAAGGTCACTGTGGTGGTATTGTTTTCCCCAAAATATTGTGTACTCTAATAAATTTATCTGGGGTCAGAGAACAGACAGCCACTAGATACAAAG